AACATATGCATCCACTTGTGTGGATGAAAATGACAATATGAATACAATTTTTGTGAATATGTTATTAAACAATCACAATGAGTAAGAATATTTACTTATTTACTATTTTAAAAAAATTACTATTACTACTATTACTCAATTGCCGATGAGTGCAGCACTGTCTTGTAGATCCCTCCTAGCAAAAGCGGAGGAGAGAAACTGAGCTAGTGCAATAATGGTTTCTTTTTCTTGACATTTCATAATTATAGTAAATTTTTCATCAGTTGTTTTTAGGCCAAAATGTGTATCGTGTTTTGTAAATACCTTATTAATGTGTATATTATTAATGTATCAAATGTGGTGGTTCAATTTTGAGAGAAGGACTTATGTGGGAATTTTAAAACTAAATGTAGAAAACTTCAGTCAAATCAAAAGAGATCCATAAACAGCTTTAACCTGTCACAACTGTTAGCCCTTGGCCATCATATTGAGTAGATTGTAATTCATTTCATCATAATTAACATCATTTCCATGACAAGTTGTATTTCAATTACTCTTGGAAAATTTTTCGATATTGATATCCATACCATGACATATTTTCATCAGAATCAGCTGGAATCAGGAAGCTGCTTTCAACTTTCTCATCAGCATTTGCTGGCTTATGTATTGCAGGAGCCATTTCTATTTCTAATCCAGACTCGCTGAAAACATTTCAGAATGCCCGGACATTTGGACCGGCAGTAATGAAAAATTTGCCGGACCGAATGGATTTTTGTCGGACCGAAAATCACTCTATTCGTTTGAGACAGATACTACAGGTACATGTACCAGCGCGATTAGCGTAGCTTACTTTGTTTGTGAATGTAGGTTTGAAATGGAAGGGAAAAAACGCTTTGGGTTTTATATAACTTTATTAGTGACAGATGTCGATTGATGACTGTAAATTCAAAATTGCAGCTCTTAAAACTCTTGTCGGTCCTTTGGACCGACCAAGTCCAATTTTTACCGGTCCAGACAAATTTTCCTGGTCATGACCGTTTCAGAATGTCTGTTCCAAATTCTTGTCCTCCCAATGATGGTGAGTCTTCTCTCTTTTTGTGAGAGCAGGCAGTTCACGTGGTGGTGGACCACCTCCTGAAATGAAAGCGAATATTTGCATGGGTCTCCAACCAAATACATTTGTAATTTGTCGTTCTGTTAAGGGATATCTAAAGTGAAAATTTTTGAATGGGCACTTTTTATGACATGTTTCTTATGAAATCCCCGAAAACCACCTGATAACACGTAATCTCACGCATCAATGCTTATACAATTAACATAGGTATTTAATATGTGCATACGTGGGGTCAATAGTGAATTTAATAATTAAAATTAATATTAATGTTATGAATAACATGCCGCACTTTTTCATCACAGATAACACTTAAAATATGTAAGTCGATGACATGTAAATGGCCATAGTCATGAAATAAGTATATGCTGGGTCGATTTCTTTTTTAGGGCCCATGAAATGTTACTTTATCATCCCCGGCCGCATTACTTTTTCTGCTCACATGAAAGAATTATAATGTAAATTTCCCCCATCAAATGTGCACCTCATGCGCAAAAACAGACTCTCCCTGTACTAAGAGTGCCTCTCACTGCAATTTATGTTACTACTAGCTTTGCTCATGGCACGTTCCATGTTTTAGTTTATGTAATGACAGTCCGTAGGGCATCGTTGGTTAAATTCAATGCGTTTTTGTATGAGCAAAAAATACGCCCTACTGAATCACTTCTTGTAGGTGTCAATGATGATAAACTAATATTTTTTATGAGGCCTTTTTACAGAATTACCGCCGATAGGGGAGATGGGTGCACATGTATCAGCCAATAGAGATAAACCCTTTTGATTAAAATGTAATTATGTCACGTACTCGATTATTATAATTAGTGTTGGGTCTGGGGATTGGATGACATGCCTCTTTTTCTGTCAGAGTATGAAGAATACTAGGCCTACACAAGAAGTTACAACTTCTTGGCCTACACGATTGATATCTCAACTCTTCTAATAATAAATGATAGGCCTACTAGTATAGGCTTTTAGCAAATGTAGGCTATAATGTGGACAAATAAAGCATTGAAATTTCACTCACCGGTTTTCCTCAGTTCCTTTTTGTAATCGATGATGTCCTTTTTTGCACTTGAAAGGAGGTTGTCCCACTTCTATTTGACACTTTCAATGTCTCTCTTCATATCAGGATTGTGCTGGTTTACACCATTCATTGCTTTGGCCCATGCATCTTTTTTGGCTTGTGCTGTGATCTTAGTAGAGAATCGTCCCCTGAGTATATGTTACTGCTTTACAATTTCCTCAACAAGTACCTCTTTCTCCTCACAATTCCAACTGGGCCCTTTTTTCTTATCTGCCTTGTTTAAAGCACATACAACACAGTGTATAAGTTTAATACGCACCAATGTGCTTGCTCATATCCAAGTAAAGGATTCCTTCAGGAATCCCCAGAAATTCCCCAGTGTGAGCTATTGTAACAGGTAATTCTATTGGTCAATGTACAGGCTAAACATAGCTCAACACATAAGAGAAATCCTACAGAGTTGAGGAAATTCCTATTATTTGAGAAAATTCTTGGCTTAGGAAATTCTTAAGGTACTTTGTGCATACCACTTAAGGGTTTCCTCGGCTAAGAATTTTCTTATGAAGTAAAGGAGAATTTTTCATTTAAGATAAGGATTTTTTGTGCATACGGGGTTTCTTTGGGTAATATCATCGTACAGCCTCACACTTGATTTTATTTCCTTTTTCTTGGTCATAATTGATCTTTTTATGTAATTATTTCTCAATTTTACAATGACTGGCTGATGTTGTACCTCTCTGCCTGGGATTCTATGAATTGCAGTTATATCATGGGGGCCCAGTTCAATGTTGATTTCTTTCTTGAAAAATTCAGGGAAGTCACTTCTTAAATTTTCTTTATTGTGAGGGGGGAAGTTTAGGACTCTTAATTACACTTAATTTTCTCGAGTATTGCTCGTTGTAGTTACTTTGTTTGATTGCTTCAGTTGATCTAGTATGATTTTGAACGACCCTTTCCTCCAGATCTTTTAATTTTTTTCTTTCTCATTCAGTTTCTCTTTAATGTTTTCATTTTCCAGCAATAGTGAGTCTATTTTGTCTTGCATTTTTTATTATTTATTATTATTTATTGCGGTTCAAGTACATTTTTTACAATGACTATGACCTAACAATATACATTATATAATCATATAACAAAAATCATTACTCCAAAATTTTACCCGTGGCCTCGGCAATTCTTAATTTCATCTCACTTTGTATGAGTTCATATTGTTTTTCTAGCATTTGATCGGTTATTGTTGCTACAATGTCAGTTATTTCACCTTTAGTGACTAGAGAACTGAATACCTCTTTTATGCCGGCCAGGTCACCATGGATGCTGGGTAGTTGAGAGTAAAGGTCCGCCCCCTCCATGCTCTCTTCTGCCACGTCGGAGTGACTCCATTTTATCTTTTTTGATGGCTTTTCAGCAGACGCTTTTTTCTGATTCTTGTATTGGTCGATTGTTGATTGAGTTGATTTTTCCTGTCACCTGGCATTTTAATCAAAGTCTACACAGACAGACACAAAACTGACATTAGCAAGGAGCTACGAGCAGCTTACGTTGTGCCGCCATCTTGACCCGTATCCAACGTTTCAAGTTTTGGTCGTTTATAATATGCGTAGCCTTGCCTGAGCCAATAGATTTATCTGCCTTTTATATATATATTATTTTCAGAACCACGACATGCGCATAGTAAGGTAGTAAAGATAATGACTTACACTTTCACTAATTGCAGATGATAATTATAACGGAATCAAACGAGTATATAGATAGGGAGTTACTGAGTGTAAGATAAACTTCTTTAAGAGTCAACGAGTGTAGAAATTGTTTTTGTAGTAGGAAAAGATGGAACATGTCAAAGCCACATAAAGTTCGATTTGATTGGTGAATTTCTCTATAGATTTGCACGTTTCCGACACGTGTTAAACACATGCAAACTAAGGATGGACATGGCCTAAGCATGAGTAGCTCAAATCATATTTCAAATATTCTAAATTGAAAACAAGTCTCTTAGAGATTACCTAATAAGGAATTGTTGCATGGTGGTTTGCAACATGAGAATGGAAAAGTCCTTGTTACCACACAAATACATGAAAAGAAAACAAGTAAATGCTTGATCAGTACGGAGAAACAGAGTATAAATAATTTTGAATTTGTATGAAGATAAAATCGGCGAATAAACGTTCGAAAGCTCTGGTTGTCGTTCTTCATCACTTATATCAAAAATATGAACAATTGAATAAAAAATGACAATAGTATCTTGGTAAACATAAAATGGTGGATACTGGAACTCAATTATGAACGATGGGCTTCAGTTACAGCAACAAAATCATATTTAAGAGGCCTGTTAAACGTATACAAGAAGTTTTTTAATGCATATTCTTTTGAAATTATGAAAAATGTTTTGAGAGCATGAAATTATTTGCGCATTGCTTTTTTAATTAACTGTTTTGTAGATGACTTCTTCGTAAAAGGTATAATTAATTAACCTAATTAAGACATTTTCACATGAAACATTTAACCATTGTAAAAATATGGTTCATATGAATATAATTCATCAGTCGTTAAAACTTAAAAGTATATTCTATAATGTTTTTTTTAAACAGTTATTTCAAGAAAAATGGAATTTAAAAAAATGCAAAGTCGGGCAACGATTAAAACAACCACCGTTACAGCTTGACAGTGACCTTATTGACAGTACAGCTGTCAGAAATCCAAGACTGGCATGACTTGATTCCTTTGTTTATGGTTAATTTACTGGTATTGTTGTTTTGATACAATACGTATGATAGATATGATGCATTGAAACGTCTCTCCCAAAACAAATTAAAATGGTATCCATTTGAAGTGCACAGTGCAAACTTGGTAAATTTACAGAAGTGTATTATGTTTTCGTAATTTCAGATTAATCTAAACCGATGGATATGTGCCGGGGTTTGTGCAGTATGACCGCCATTTTGTTAGTTTTAACACCCCACGTCACATCCTCTGATACCAATAACATGAGAATTGCGACGTCAGCAAAGCTCTTTATCGGAAATGGATCGGCCTCCCAGAGACATAACACCACCGAGACCACGCCTGTTACAGAGACCACGCCCACAACCACCGAGGAGCTCACTCGTGAACAAGTGATTTTAATCATTGCCCTGCAGATCTCCTTGACATGTTTCTTCTTTGTGGGACTGCTTGTGTGTTGCTGTCTATGTTATTGTTGCGGGGAATACGACGACTGCGAGGAAGGTCGAGAGGGATGTAGAGATCGGTTTTCTGATTGTTGCGAAAACTGTTTCTCGGTAATTTTTTTCTGTTCATTGCTTTTTTTCTATCCATTATTGTCTTCACCTGCAGTCGTGGTTTCCAATTAAGATTACAAAAACATTCTACTTTCAAATACTTACATCAGTTATTTTTGTTGTAAAGAAAAATCAATGATATTTAAATGATGCCAAAAAGTGCAAATTATATTGAATATCATAAGTATATGGTTAATGAGTAAAATGAATAAATGAATAAGTGAAGCAATGCAGATTAACTATCCAAAGAAAGAAATATATTGAAATGCTGTAAATATTCTAATATTTTTCTTCAATTTGGACCAAATATTTCATCAACTAAAGCATATCAACAATGTCAAATGTCCAGTCTGTGTGTGTGCACATTTAATAGTAGAAAATTACTGAACCAATCAAATAAGCAGCTACATTGGTCATCAAAATAATTGAACCACATAAATAATATGTGGGTAGGTCCAAAATATCGCTTAAAAGGTTGACATATGACTTGAATATGGAATGTATTTGCTTCACTGGCGAGATCACATGTATGTAAAGTTACGGAAACACGATTTTAATGCTTATTTTCAATTATCAGTCAAGAAAATACGATATATATACATGTATATACAGNATAATTCAGAGGTGCGTATGCAAATCAGATTCCGAAGTCACAACCACGGTTGCAAAAACTGAAACGTAGACCTGGTCTTCTTTTATCTATTCATCTGCCAGATGGACGAAAGTTACCTGTGGATAAAGTCCGAGTTATAACGACCAAAGTCAGTAAACTTGAACGAGAATGTTTATCGAGGTCTTACCCCGGGGGCTTCGGATAGTCTTGACGAAGACATAACTTTCACGGATTGTGGCAGTTGCTTCGGAACAGACCAAGTGTTCACGGTCACCTATGCCTCACATAGTGTTCTCGTTCAATTTGCCGATGACAGCCCTGCAGAAAAATCCTGCGACCCGTTTCTTACCGTTGGAGAATTTGTATTCATCAATCAATGCATATCATACATATAATACTGAATGCTTATTTTCCTTTCAGAGGTGCGTATGCAAATGCGATGCCGAAGCCACACTCATGGTTGCATGTGTTCAATCAGAACCAGTTTATGTTATATCTGTTCATCTGCCAGACGGACAGAGTGTGCGCATGTCCGTAAAGGGCACGGATAAAGTACGAGTTATAAAGACCAAAGTCAATAACATCGTAAATTTGCCCCTTTGTTACTTGAATGTATATCATGGTCTTATCCCGAGTGAGTCGGACAGTCTTGACGAAGACAGAACTTTCATGGATTATGGCATTTACTTTGGAACAGACAGCGTGTTCACGGTCACGTATGGCTTGCATAAAATTCTCGTTCAATTTGCCGATGACAGCCACGAAGAACAGTTTTGGAATCCCCTACTTACCGTCGAAGATTTAGTGAATATGATTTATCTTAAATTACAAGCAGCACATAAGGATATGATTCTAATCAAAGCCCAGCGAAAAGGAAGAGATACACTCCGGACATTGGTCGAATCCGACAAGAAGACTCCTCTGTATCGTCTACATAAAATCAAGGTGTCTGTTTCATTCCAAGTGGTGTTAAAGATTATAGGACAGAACACCCAAAAATCGGCTAAAGTATTTCCAACGGATACAGTGGACGCACTGGCGAAGAATTTTGTGAGGGCAGTTATTTTCATTTACGAAGGGACACAACTCGGAAGCGACAAAAAGTTGAAGGATTATGGTCTCCAAGAAGGGTCGGTTGTGACTCTTGACTGGTCAGTAAAGGTTTATGTAACACGTGGCGGTCAAATCTATAAATACTCTTTGTTGGCAAGCAAGGTCGTCGGCACACTTAAGCAGATTCTGGCGGTGGATACCGACATTCATCTATTTGAACAACACCTTAGTTTCCATGGTAACGTTCTTAGTGACGATAAGATGTTTGCCGAATACCTGACCTCCAAAATGGAAGGGAAAATGGTCATCATTCTTACCAGTCAGCCCTGGAGAGTACCAGTGCTGCTCCCTACCGGTACTTTGATAGACTATCAAGTTTCACCAAATAACAATGTGGCGTTTTTGAAAAAACAAATAGAGGCAGACGCAGACATTCCTGTTTCACGCCAGATCCTACAAATTGGTCAAAACGATTTAGCCGATGATGGACTGCTCTGTGATTCTATAGTAACGTCCAGTAGTGTAATCTATCTGAAGGAACAGATTGCCCTAAAGTATTCAGCAAACTGGACACCTGTCAGTGCCAGATGGAGGTCTTTATTTGAAGAACTTCTGCAGGTCAGCGACGGGAACTTGAAGGAAGTGAACAACGTATGTTTCAGCACAAAGATCGACAGGTTTAAAATTGGATCGTAAGTATAGTGAGGTGTGCTTTATTTATTCAGTTTTATATAATTTTTCAGTTTGATAATGGGATCAATTTAAAAACTGTCATTCTCCAAATCGGGTTCTGGTACCCTAGGTTCTAGATTTCAGTTTTGCCAGCTGGATCTTGATTTCGTATATAACCCATATCAGGAAAACTGTTAAGCTGTTCCATTAAAACGTTTGAATAGTTAGCAAGGTAGCTTCACAGTGACCCTGACACTGAGGGCAGGTTCTAGTGGTGTTTTTTTAAATAGTTTTTGTTATGTTTATAGACGCTTTCCCATTGACTTGAACATGAAAAATGAATGAAATTGCAATGAAATACTTAGCTAAAGTTTGTGTGTTGTGTGCTTTAGTTTGTCATATAGCTAATGTTGTCTGTCATAGTAATTTTATTACTGACTTACTAGTATAAATAGTCAAGGTCAAATTTCTGCCACACGTTTTTCATTTATTCTTTTAACCGGGGCAAGAGTTATCGATCGTAGTTAAAGTTTCAGATTACTCAAATTAGATTACTATATTTTCTTCAGCGGCAACAAAACTGAGGTGCTTCTGGGTATTCGGCATGATGGCAGAGAGGTCGCCGTAAAAAGATTCCCAAGGTCCATGTCACAGAACTTTAAGAACGAGAAAGGCTTGTTAACTACATTGGATTCCCCAAATATCATCCGGTATCTTGATATTGCCATGGATGACGAGTTTCTGTACTTGATTCTTGAGCTCGGGGAGTTTACTCTCAATGAATTTATATCTACAGATGAGTACAAACAAAACCAGGGCAGCATCTCCCGAGATCTCGTAGGGCATATCTTAGAGAGCCTCAGAACCCTACACACTGGGCACAACGTGATTCATATGGATATCAAGGTAGACACCCTTCAGTGAATTTTGGTATGCTGGGGGTATTTATTTTTGCTCCTGTCAACAGTTCATCGCAATAATATCATTTTGGCCTTTACCAAATATTATTCTTAAAACGTTGACACTCATTCTTTACTTGCAAATGAAACTTGTGTGCGAAATTTTTTATGTTAGTGACTGATGGTTAGTATGCAGAAAAGTATAAATCCGTCTTATAATAATGGATTATACAAATGTAGTACATTAAGTAATACCCACCAATTCCAGCCCCACAACGTTCTTATAGATATCAGCAATCGAGCAAAGTTATCAGATTTTGGCATTAGTGTGGTCCTCCCGGATAACCAGAGTACTTTCTACACTACTGCTAAAGGTATATTACAATTTCTCTACGCTCATTTGTATATCTATCCGTCTGTCTGTCTGTCTGTCTGTCTGTCTGCCTAATGATATCAAAATTTTGGCCACATGGTTATTTACAAGGATATAGTAGAGGTACTATAAAAAGCTCCAATTTAAATTATATTTATATTTAGTTTTATATAACTCATTGCCAATTTAAAGCTTTTTAAAAGGCCTTGATGGAACATGTATTTAATTCATTATTCCCTTACTGTCGTTGTTATATATCTGGTGCATCTTCAGGAACATACCATTGGGTGGCAAAGGAGATATTGGATAGCGCCACTGGGAAAGCCAAATACAAGAAAAATGCCGATATTCAGGTAAAATTACAGTTAACTACATAAACTTGTCAAAAACTATCTCAATGATGATGTCATGGACACGCGTACACGTGTATTATTGACGAAGATTTATAAAGAGTCATCAGCATGATATTTTTAATTTCCTTTTGATAAATACGTAATCGGAAATACATGTATGTGATTAATATCACTATTTTGTACCGGGGTATAGCTTTGTCGAGCCGTACATCAATGATTATATATAACTTAGGTATAATGTATGTGCGTTAAGTTTTGATTAAAAAAAAGCGTTTATTATTCTGTTGCCCTTGCAGGTGGCCGGGATGTTAGTCTACTACACACTAACAGGTGGCATACACCCATTTATGCCCAGTGGCGAGGCCGACGTGTTTCTGTGTAACAAGAAGGTGCAAGATGGAAAACATGACCTTTCAGCCTTGGACGACATCGTTGGAAAACATTTAGTGGCCTGGATGCTGCAGCCAGACCCTGAGCTGAGGCCGACCATTGAGGAAGCACTGGCGTAAGTTATCTTTATCTTTTATCTTTGTTTCCTCTTTCCCCTTCTTAAAAAGATTTCGTTGGCAAAAACTGAATTTGAAGCAACTAAAGCTACTTACGCACTACGAAATTAAAAGGCACGCACTTTCCATTGTTGGTTAGATGTGTGTAATGTTGTCCGAAAACATGAAAGTACTAATTCAGAGAAGAATTTCATCAGCTGTGTTAAGTTATAAGAATGATCTGATTTTTTTATTCAGTCAACAGCTAATACTGAGACATCGAAATATTGGAGGTAAAACCTATCTCAATATTAGCTGTTGACTGAAGAAAAAAAATCACATCATACTTATGAAAGTACTAAACACATACTGTCAAGTATATATATATTTATAAAATGTGTAAATGCGCTAATAAAAATTAAGGTGCAGGAGGTTACACATGTAAGTGTACAGTAAATAAGGATATACCTCTTATTAACAGGCACCCGTTCTTTTGGAATGTGGATATGAGGTATCGTTTTCTTGGTGCGTTGGGGGACGAGAAAGAAGTGAAAGAAAGGTACACTTAAAGCAGAGAGATATTCCTAATTTTTACACGTTAAATGAAAAAATAAGTTGAGACGTCAGGATGTGGAAATGCAACGTCAGCAGTATTTTACTTTCTGTTACATATATCTTATGTCCTTTACTTTCCAGATTGTGTTATGTTTTATTCATGGACTTTAATATAAAGGTTTCTTAAATTGTCTCATAGCTTTTTTAAAAGATGGCTCTATTAAAAAAATATTTGGTAGTCTTCTGCGATTAATCCTTTTAAGTAAACATACATGCATTAAAGAAAAAAGAGAATGCAATATCAGCAGTATAGTTAATGCGAGCAGTTTAATAATACTATATTACGTTAACTATAAGAACAACCGACTTTTATTGTGATATTTAATTTTGGATTTATTTCAGTTGGAAACAGCAGCCACATTCCGTAGCGTTGACACTGGACAGGTTGACGGTATCCGTGTTTAACACAGTACCGCACTGGGTAGGGTTTGTTGGATGTTAATTATCATCAATTTTGCTTTTTTGTGTATTAAAATGTGTATTATTTCATTGGGTTACTGGCGTACATTGAATATAAAGACTACATAAGGAAATTCAGAGTGGTGGAAGAGAGGGGGAGGATAAAAGTTTATGGAGGCGACTCTTTTTCCTAGTACCAATATCATTGCCTTCCAAAAACTGAATAAAATGACACAAATCCCATTTGCTCCGTACTTTAAAATTGTGTATAATTTTTCATCATGCACTGGGCATTATGATGAAATGAAATAAGATCTGATGTCAAAATTAGGGCATTTTTGTATAAGGCATCCCTTTCCCCTACATCATTGTACAAATTGTTCCTGTCACATAATGAATCACCGTTCATTTCATCTCCCATCTTTGATTAATTGAGGACGCAAATTGCCTACAGCGCATGTGCATTATAGTATGCACAGAACCTCTGGAATTTTACTCATAGGCAAAATCCGTAATTTCAACTTTCTAATAACATTTTTTCGATTAAATAATTTTTAAAGAACAATTGCAGTGTGAGTGTGACCTTTTGTTATGCAGAGATCGGTACATATCTAATATGTAGAACATAAATATAGTCATAAATAATAATGTATAGAAAATAAAATTTTATCGGTTCGTCTCTTCAGGAGCGATTTATTTTTACCACCACAATACGAGGGGATATGGATTTCTATTTTAACATCTGTGTACTGTACTAACGAGATAAATATAGCGAGTTTTATAACGACGTTTTTCAGAAGGACTTGCTCGATCAAGCTGTTTATAACGGAGTTGCAAAACCAAGGAAAAATGGCTACAGGTCTACTATATGTGAACTTCTTCGATTTATGCGAAATGTGGACGTCCATCTCAAAGATCAGTAAGAAAGATATATATTCTTTTTGCAAATATTAGCATCACCTTCAGTTTGTACCATATATATATATATATATATATATATATATATATATATATATATATATATATATATATATATACACTCATGCAAATTTGGGAAATTTATGAATGCGGTTGTTTTTTGCTCAACATACCGGTCATCTTAGTCTGATAAGGATGAGTGCCCACTTTTGTACATGAAAAATAAATTGTAAATGAATGGGAAAAAATTGATGCCAAATTAAAGTTGGGGTCTTACACTTTTATGATCCACTTAAAAAAAATATTTTATTGAATTTGAAATATAAAAAAATTAATGTCAAAATGACCTTGTCAAATATTCATGAAAATGTGTGTTTTAGGGGGGGGGGTCTGAATTGCAATGCTACAAATCTTTAGTTATAGTAAGGTGACAACTGTGAAATTTTGTAATTCGGTACAGAAGGTGCCCATGTAAAGCAACATGTGGCCAATCATTGGTTGTGATCAATATTTTGATTGCTTTATTTATACTTGTAGTGCTAATTGAAAGAAGAATCTTACAGTGACTTGAGGATAAAATATGTTCATTTTTTATATGAGCCCCTGCCTCAGACAAGCTAATTATTCACGGTTGAAAAGACATGAATATAAGGTGAGATAAATGTGAAAATCAGCTTGTCTGAGGGTTGGGCTCGATATGTACTCAAACTAAATAGGGACATTTTCAATCCGTATGCTAGCAGGCGGCCATGTTTATTCCTGCCATGAGGTAGCTGCTACATGCTTACATAGGATGGCTAGGCAGATACAGTGAAACTTTTTTTACAAAAGAACAACCCAAAATAAAATGTAGGTCTATGAAAGGAAAATAGGGGTTAGAGTCAGTAAAATATTTTCAATTACAACCAAAAAAAAAAAAAAAAGAAAAGTCATTTTCATATATGTAATGCATGCTATCATCAAAAAAAAAAAAAAGAAGGAAATATGGATAGGAAATAGAATCCAAATACAGTAAGTATATCTTACTTTCATTCTTATTTCTTAGGATAAAGAAAGATTAAATGTAAAATTTGCTTCAGATATTCAAAGTTATATTTATTATCATAATAGCAGATGAAACAAGTTTTTCTAGTAACAAGACTTTTATACAGTTAAGTGAAATCAGTGATGGCTTAATTCTGTGATAAAATACTGTAATATACCACCCCTCCCTCTCTTCTCTAGGATTAAAAAAATAATAATTACTTGCCCATTTACTTGTGCCACACCAGAATTATTTAACATATAACTCTATTTTACATCACAAGACAAGTTTCATTAGAAAAAAAATCGTTTATGTAATATAAATGCTGAAACAAGTTGCTCTGATTCATTACAATGCATACAACAGGTAAATCATCCGGCTACCCCCCCCCCACATATAACTCATTAAAATACTAAGTTACGATGCCTCAAACCAAATAATATTTTTTCATACAACAAATATATGCATAATCTTTATAATAGCAAATTATTTTTAAATTTTGACGATGGGCACTTTGCCAATGGTTATTCGCACTCATCCTTTATGGTTACAATTGGGGACAAATGTAACATACGATTAAACGAACAGAGATGTTTATATTAGCATACCAAAGTTTTTAGAGAGGCACCCCGCACGAAAACACAGTAGATGCTCCAGCGCAGTAGACTACTGCAATCATACTGCAAATATGCCTCAAATCTGCTTCGCATTGGGAGCTAATTAGCATATTTGAAACATACTTCTATCATGCTGCTAATCTACTGCATTAATGCTCCTCCTCTGTACAACCCTATGTAATTTTTGAAGTAGAATTGCAGTAGGGTATACTGCATTTCTACTGCAAATATGCTCCACACCACTACTGCGTTAATGCTTCTTTGCTACTTCGATACTACTGCATTTTTGTGCGGGACATGTCTTGTTCAGAAAATTATATTTACCAAATAATAAACATTTGTAGTTTATGATTAGGTTCTCTTAAATTTTACAAACCAATTTTCAAAGAGAAAGATACACAAGAAGGAGAGTTGCATGTTCCAATAAAATAACTCTTTTGTCCATGGACATATTTCACGCATTTGATAAAATTTTATTATAAAGTTGTGACAGAAGAGTAATTTTATTACTTATGTGTTCCAAAATGTTGAACAGTATTTTAAATAAAAATGGTGATCTTAAACATTTAATGGATATTTTTTTCAGGCCGCCCGCTATACAAGCCAATGTTGGTAATCCCATGACGTACTTCACCGCCAGGCTGCCTTTTGACGAGCTGTTCCTGAAGGTTTACAAAACCGTGAAAGACACCCGATCTTCTGCTGATGACTGGACGGTTAGAGGGTCACTGAAGGAATATTTTAAAGCATAATGTTAATTAAATGAGGTTGTCATAACGGAATAAGCGACGCAATAAAGTGTTTCAGTAGCCAACTGGTTTAAATCTTTTATTCAAGATTGACCTCATAAGAGACTTAAGGGTAAGATTTCGCCCTTGTAAAAATTTGGAAAAAAATTGGTTTTACACTGGAAATTGAATGATAGTTATTTCTGTGAAGTTATTATATTCAGCCACACGTAGATTGCTGGCGGGCAGAGGATTACGGGACACAGCTGTACCATATGTTTGTAGCTTCTACAGTAGAGCGGACACAATTATAAATAGGTGTTAGAAAATATTCTTTATTGTCAAAACAAAATATATTTTAGTTTTTATAGTTAGAAAATCAACAAAAGGTTTTATTGTGAATGAAACATTGATTGCAACATTCATTTTTCACTTTTTTTTCTTACATGTATCTTCTTTTATCAAAATGACAAATGTCAACATGAACGTATTTTTACTCCAGATTTTATCAAAAGTAATAAGTACTATGTATAAAATTTTCACGCGGTTTTGCCTATATATACTGTACATGTACGTTTGATACATGTATGTTTGAATTGCTTACACCCATAATGGTTAGTGCGCATGTAACTTTGCGGCATGGTGTTGTCTGCAAAATACATTTAGAAATCTTGCTTCATTTAATTTCATGCTTAAACGATCCTTCCAATGTAAAATATTTTTCTGGTGGATTTTTGGCTTAATTGAATTTAGCTCCACCAACTCATGCTATAATGGACCAGTCAGGTCTCATATATATCTTTTAATTACTAGTTTCTCAAGCAAATTTGATTTTCATCTACGAGATTTATATATACTTGCTGCTAATGATTTTATTTTCTATTCTACTGCTATTAAATCAAACTTATTGGTCATATAGTAAAAGGGTTTATGTGAGATGATGTTTACAACAACTTAGTAAGGTCAGGGTAGTGATCAAAAAAATTGTAAGGTACCACATTTCGTTTGAAAAATAAGTAAGATTATTTAATTTCTTAAGAAATTTAAAAAAATCGTGCATTTAAAAAATCACTTAGTATAACACAAATTACCAAAAATATCAGTTTGACGTAGTCAAACGTTGATTTATGGCGACGGTCTAACTCTTACAACTTTACTTGAGACCTCGAATTTTATGCTGCATGTTTTGACCAGGCTTAGCCTTGGATTCAGTGCTTGATAATTAGTAAGTCTCGTCCCCACAAATTAAACTGTGCACAATATTTGTTTGGAAATTCCATATTAAATATAGATTTTTGCAGGAATACGCATTACGTAAAAATCATTACTCAACAATCATTACCACTAAAGTACTTGACTTCGTTTATCACAGGGACCTTCAATAAATGATGCCGTCATCAGTCGAATTTGGAACATCATACTTGTATTTGTTCTTTTCTTTTATTGCTGCGTTATGTTATTAAAGCCGGTTTAGATCAAGGATACAAAGCTGTTTTTGTAAGAATTCATCAGCATGAGTGTGCACAGGCATGTTAGCAGAGCAAAGTATACTCGACGTATAAGCTAATTACATTACTCTACCTGTGATGTTTATACCTGATGAGAATTCGCTCGTTATCATATTACTTAAAGTAAGTTCAAATAAGGCAGAGCGGTTAACGCTTTAGATTTAATGTTTATATATCCGAAACAGACAGGGATTTTGCTAATTTTCATTAAAATGTTAATCAAAATATTAAAACATCGTGTGCTTAGAGGTTAGTGTACACTGTATATTGAGTACTAATAAATGTACATTTGATCTATATTTTCTGTTTTCTTGGGTATTTATACACTACACTTTACAATGCTATAGCATGACTGAGCAGACGAAGACTACAATCTTTAAACACCATTTACAGCAGAAAATGTTGTAATTTTCCTCAGGGAACGTTTTGATTTTCAAAGGTGAATCCAAAAAGCTGCTGTGTCTTGAACTAAAGAGGTAAATATTGCTACATATAACAGTAATAATAACACATTAATTAGTGTTTCATTTGAGCAAGGAAAACACTCTAATTTTCAAAGAAGAACAGATATTGCACTGTTTAACTTTAATTTAATAAAAATCTTTTTTTTTACACTAAAGAGAAAAATACTTCTACAATATATCGCGTTGATGTTTCATTTGAACAAGGAAAAAAACAATGATTTTTAAAGATGAAAAGAAAAATGCTGCACTATTTAGCTTTAAAGGAAACATACTGCTTTTTTAACTTAAAGGAGAAAAAATGATGCTCCAAATATGTTAATATGAACGTTTTTTTTTTGTTCTAGAGTTTATTTCAAGAGAAAATTACTTTTAAAATTTTACATGCAAATATGTATGATTACCTTCCTACACGAGGCCAGTACGAAAACACACTGTTAACAGCAGGTCATATACAGCGACATCTGCAAAGGACTAGGGATCACGTGCGTTTGCAGCCAAAGCACTGGAATCACGTCGTTTTCATGATGAAGTTTTAAGAATTGACGGTCGAATCCGTGTACGCCAGCATGTACAAGAGGCATAGAACGATGCCAGTGTACTGCGTAGGGTGCAAGCAGGGGGTGGTAACGTCTCTGTTTGGGGAGCATTTTGTGTCGGTGCCAAGAGAGAGGTTGCTTTTTTCTAGAAGGCAACCTCAACCAGGATTCATACAGAGGCATTCTACAGCAAACAATGCTTCCCTATGCATGAGCAAGGGACAAGTTCGTGTACCAATCCCTATATCGAGCTCGCAGAGTCACTGCTTTTCTTCAAAACCAAGGGGGTCCAGCAATTGACCTGCCTTGCTAACTCCCTAGAAATGAACCCATTGTGAAAAAAGTTGGCGTAAGTCACTCGCATATTTAATAGCTACGACCACCAGCCGGTAAATCGGGATGAAGTCCGACACTCAATTACCAATGCGTGGAATGATATCCCCACCCATACTCTGAGAAACTTGTCAGTGGGAATGCAACGAAGGATAAGGGCGCTGCAAGCGGCAGCTTGAGGTCATGTCCGACTTTGAATACTTTCCATGATTAACAGTAATGAGCTCTTTGTATGTGTAGCATATCACTGTCCGGAGGCTGTCATTTTCTACAATATCTTAGCTTAAATTTCATATTGTCAACACACTGTTGATATGGTTTTCTTTCTTTGGATGACATCTGACTGGATATTTGTATAACTCAATGACATATATTTTTTTGATTAATAAAGCCAAACAAAATTAATCTGCACTAAAAATGATAAGAAATATTCCACTGTAGTTGAGGGCGAGGCTCCTTTTATTTATTTATGTGTTATCTGTTTTTGTCAGCTATGTAGGTCGACGTAAACAAAGTAATCCTGTTAAGCTAGATTGCAGTGCCTTGGCTTCTTTTCCGGCTTTTAAATCATTAAGGTAAACAAAGATGACAAGGTAAGCAGCGGCCAGGAAGTTATTCGAGGTGAATCTGTCATCATGAGTTTTCAACCGACGCACTTCATTTGATGTGAAACCGAGTGGTACGCGTCCATTTCGATATATCAGGCTGGAAGAATCAAACTTCCATGTGTAAGGTATAGTCATATTATCCTGACACACCAGATAAAAAATAATCTTAACGTCAAGGTGAACAGAAATTTGAGCACATGATACGTACAACATCAGGAAGGACACAAAATCAGGTGACCTCATTCGTTTTGGGAAATAAGTGTTTGTTTAAGTCGCACAGTCGAGTTTCAGAGAATGGTGGTAACTATGATTCAGCTACTGAACATTTTGATTTCAAGAGAGGACCAGAAATCGAAGGTGAAATCGACCCCCTCTAAATCCGCCACTGGTCCAGACGATAGCCCACGCATTCAGATCAAACTCTTAACCTTGAATTAGACCTAATGTAGTTAAGACATAATGTAGGTCATCATCGGTAGTACCTACAACTACCGTGTATCAGCAATCTGCCTGTAATATCGACATGACGCAATGTTTATACTTTTAATATTTAACCCAAATAACAGTCTAATTCCCGTTATGTGTACATTTTAATTTGTATATCAATGGCTAACTTAACTATTATCTTAGATGGCATTCTGTCCTACAATAGCAAGTTTATACAGTATGATGAAATTTATCAAAACCACCCTCCTGAAACTAATTAAAACCAAAATCATACCCATTAGTTTTGCAAAAGGACAACCGTGGTAAATTTTCTCACACATGTGTGCATTTGTCTTTATCTTTCAGATCGGTCTCAGCCAATGGATACATACGTTGTTTTGTGCACTGTTACCGCCATACTGATAGTTTTAACACCTCACGTCACTTCCTCTTATACCAATAACACGAGTATCTCAGTGTTCTCTACTGGAAATGGATCGGTCTCCCAGAGACATAACAGCGGCAACGCCACTGAGTCCGCCCCTACTGCTACAAGATCTGCGCCAGTTTCCAGCATAAACAAGCCGGACATGGCCAACAACAACTACAACGTGGCTATCGCCTCCCAGAGAACGGTTACTTCTACCGCGACCTTGCCCACAACTACCGGTGCTGAAGGTATTTGTACTGCGATGAATGGCTTTACCTGCTCTGTTGCTGTGTTCGTTGCAGTGTTGGTTACTGTAGGCCTACTGTGTTGCTTATGTAACAGAGTGAGTAAAAGATGTAAATTTTGTGTTAAACGTTGTAAAACTCTGCTTTTCAGTAAGTTTATTTCCTGATTTTTTTATTTATTTATTTATTTTTTTTTTTTGGGGGGGGGGTCTACAGTGGTCGGAATAATTTTGTTTCCGTTGTGCACCGGTATAACAACGTTCGAAATGTTTTAATCCCTATCTTGTGAATAGAAGGGGGCGGACAAACAATGGAGGGCCGTTTAAATCCCTTCAAAATTCNCAACTGGAGTCAGACAATACTGGCCTCTAGGCCTACAGTGGTTAAGTACATTTGTACATGTATATGATGCTGATATTTTTTTTCAATAGTGTCAGCAGGTGGGAAGACCCAGTCAAGTGTTTTGTTGTCAGA